TGTTAGTGACATTACACCAGTCATAGCTAATGGGGAAATACCTGTATATGATCATTCAATTGTTAAACAAACATTCAATTCACTTGTTAAACAATCATAATTACAGTTATTGAATTGGACCTTGTTACATTAAGATTGCCAAAGGAATTATTCCAGCTTTCGGTGGGACTGATTGCAAACTCTGGATTTAGATGTATAACCAGATGCTGCCAATTTGAAGAAAATAGGATATATAATTCTATTGCATCTTACCTCCACAGACCAGTGAAAGATTCTTTTACCATTCATGATTCATTTCCTCAATATTCCTAAATACTTAGCTTTTGCAAGAACTGTGTGTGTTTGCATTTTCCTGCAATCCACAGACTGTCTCTATTTTTTTCAGAAGACATCTATAACTTTCCTAAATACTACATATTATTAATGCTAAATTCTTGGATGAGTATTTCCTTTGCAAGAAATCCTTATTTCTTTTGGATTGTGGAACATTCTGCTACACTCTCAGCCTGCCTGGATTATTATCATCTTTATTTCATTCAGAGTAGCTTTCCAAAGGATGGAAAATGTTAAAACACATTTTAAAAATAGTAATATTTCTTGCACACAATAAGGTGAGAATGTAACCTAAAGGCAGGACAAGAAGCAATGGATGGAAACTAATCAAAAAGAGAAGCAATGGATGGAGACTAATCAAAGAGAGAAGCAACTTAGAACTAAGGAGAAATTTCCTGATTGTTAGAACAATTAATCAGTGGAACAATCTGCCTCCAGAAGTTGTGAATGCTCCAACACTGGAAGTTTTTAAGAAGAGACTGGACAACCATTTGTCTGAAATGGTATAGGGTTTCCTGCCTGAGCAGGGGGTTGGATTAGAGGACTAGAAGACCTCCAAGGTCCCTTCCAACTCAATAATAATAATAATAATAATAATAATAATAATAATAATAATAATAATAATAATAATAATAATAATAATAATAATAATAATTATTATTATTATTATTATTATTATTATTATTATTACTATTATTATTTACAAAAATGTTTGGGGCAATAGCAATGTAGATTTCTACAAACTTCTCCATCAAGTACATCACCTTTTAAATGGATTTTCATTCTTTGACAGAGATGGGCAGTTTAGAAATGTGAAATAAAAATAAATAAATAAATGAATAAATAATAAATAAATTTCAACATTAATGTTACAGTTTTTTTAAAATTTCCCACTGTTTTTCTATCTCAAGGTTGTATATACACAGGGGTTTCCCTAATTTTGTCCCCACAACAACTCTGTGAGAGAAATAGGGGTGAGAAACTGGCTACTGCAAAGTCTCGTCACTCAGTGAACCTGAACATTAGTTTTCCTAGATCCAAGTCCAAAACTTCAATCTTTATATTCCATTGGAATATGATAAACAATTATCAGAATAAGTTCTTGATCAGGGCCAGGTGTACATTCTGTTTTGTCTGCTTATTTATCACAATACCACATCCTTCATTTCTTTCACACTAGTATATACAATGCACGTTTCTGAATTTGGCCATTGCAAAAATATATACAACATATAAATCTTGCCTGTTGAAAAAAAAGGCCATCATTTATGTACTGAATTCCCAGGTATGTTGGGGAGACCTGCAGGTAAGATATGAAAGTGGTAATTCTCTGCTTTGTATTTTCAAGGATGAAGGGAAACTTCAAAGATGCTGTCAAAATTCTCTGGAATGGTTCACAACACAAGAAGAAAAGAGGGAAAGAGCATGCAAGGGTAGAAAAAGCTGAACAGGTGGGCAAGGGAACTAATAAACTGTGTTCTTTTATAAAGGCATGGTAGCAAGCTGTTCAGACCTTAAAATAAAATATTGTTAACATATTTTAACATTGTATTATCTATAGCAATACAGATTATTAATTTGACTATAAAACACTATGGTACTATTACTGAAAAATATTAAATTGAGATTCATAATGACACCAATATAAACCAATTTAGATTAGAGGTCAGATGTTGTATTAACTAGTGTATTTGATCCAAGTTTTAGCAGCATGAGACTGAGTGAACTCTTGATTAACGATTTAACTGACTTTCTTTAGAGACGAATACATTGGGAGATAAACCTATATTAAATTGATAAGATTAGCCCTTCTTTTCTCTGTCCCTCTCCAATATTTGGCCATTTTGTTTGCAACCACCAATATTTATGTGGCCCCCAACAATAATGTATGTGAATAATACGTATGTTTTAATTTGTATTTTTCCTGGATGGAATCTTCTCCCCACTCCACCTTTGATATAGTTGTTGTGAGCAATCATGTATTTCTATAATTCATTAATAACAGATTTTCAAGGCAGCTTTTCAGAATGTTCAGTGTATTGATATCTCCTAGGGCAGTGATGGCGAACCTTTTAGAGACTGAGTGCCCAAACTGCAACCCAAAACCCACTTATGCATCGTCGAGTGCCAGGTGGGTGTGGCTCATTGGCTAGCTGTGGCCAGTTGGGTGGGCGTGGCCCATTGGGTAGGCGTGGTTGCGGTAGTAACGGCAGACTGGGTGGGAATAAAAAGTTCAATCAATCAATTCCAATTTTGCAAGATCTTTTTTTTTCCTGCGAAAAGTTGAAATTTACTGATTCAACCTTTTTTTTTTTCACGGTGTGAAAAGCTGAAGGCCTAGGACTGGGGCGACGGCGTGCCCGCCCACAGAGAGGGCTCTGAATGCCGCCTCTGGCACCCGTGCCATAGGTTCGCCACCACTGTCCTAGGGCAATAAGAGAAAGACTCCTTTATAGATATAAACAGCTCTACAGAATTCTGCCTTCCACCGAACCCTTCCATTTGATCAGCATCGAAGCGTGTGTGACATTTTCAATCAAGTGTTACATAGAAACTGAAGTTAATGACCATAGAAGCATGGACTTGGCAAGAAGTTATATTTAACTGATTTCTACCTTATTTTCTAAATTAAGAAACATGGATCATTGCCTATGGGTATCTTAGTAGTATTAGTTATATGTCTGAATGGCCACCTTTGTGGCCTGTTATTTGGGTTAATCCTAGCCTTCATAATTCTGGATGCCACAATATAGTGAATGTTATGAGTCAGTTTCCCTCTAATGAATCAACAGTGAAAAACTATTTTATGTTTGTTATTGCTCAATGGCACACACTTCACATTAGTTTTACATACACCGCAATAGCTGAATTGATCCCAGTGTCCTGGGATAGGCCCCTCCATAACTGTAACTTGCCAAAGAAAAGTGATGAGTGGACAGCAAGGCACTCAAATGCAGAACTGCTCTTTAATTCTTGAAATTGCCATTCGAAATACTGAATATTCAAGTAACTATTTTAAAAGAAAGAATGGACCTTATTAGAGGGAAGGAATAAAAGCACATAATTGGCAAGGGCAATTAAGCAACATATTGTTTCATTCTCAGTAGTTGCAGGTAAACCACAACTATTAAAAGTAGAGAATAGGATTAATAAACTCATGCTTTAATTTTGAAAGTTTAAAATTCTGTAGCTGGATAAAACAGCAACGTTTGTATTTTTTATATAAACGATTTTTAACCTTATGGCTCAGCTTAAGATACTTCTACCTCTCTCTATATGTAATGTAGCTTGTTGCAATTCCCCAATTAATTCACATTTTGTATTAATTAACCCATATCCAGTTGCTGATGTGTAAATCCCACTGAATTCAAGTTCTGAGTAAACAGATGTGTATTCAAGTGCTCAGATTGGCGAGTATTCTATTCCAGTGTAGATGGTTTAATACAATTGAGTTACTGGTTTGAGTCATGATTTATTTCATTTTATAATTAAGTTAGCCTGTTAGGCACCTACTGAAATAGACAATAACTCTGATTAATGGGCTTTCTTCAAGATGTGCTTGGACAATACAGTTTCCTGCTGTACTCCATGCCTAGTACTGATAAAAGAGAATATTTGTAGCTCAGGGTTAAATTATGGGGTCCTCATAGACTAGTGTAAGAAACTAGTGCACTGATGATGTTACCCAGTTTAGTAATGAAACATCTGTAAGAAAACCACAATGTTCAGAGAGCACCAGGGGCTCCATAGTCATATATAGCCCCTATTTTGTTTCTATTGCTTTGAACTTGTTCCTATTCTATGTAGGTTAGCAGCCTTAGGTTATCTTTAGTTGTTCAAGTATTAAAGTAGAATTATCCCACTTATTGCAATCCCAATCAAGGTAAAATCTTTCAGATTTTATCATCCAATAGATAGAAAAAAAATTAAGAAGCAGGGGAAGGATCAGAATTGATAGAAACTTTGATGCCAATTGTTTTCTGCTGATTCAAGGAGAGCAGATAGCATTCCAGTTTAGCAGTGGGGAAAGGGATTAAGCTACAGAGTATAGTAAAATTGTATTTGGAGATTCTGAGATTTATGGGATTTTATAGTAGATTTATAACATGTAAATGTCATTATTTCAGCAGTTCTGCTTCCTGAGTGCAAGCAATCACTTTCAATATGTTTGGGAATCATAGGCAGACAACAGTAGCAACAATATAATTATCTCAAAAGAATCCAATTATAAAACAAGATTTAATAATACTCCTTAAAAAGATCCAAAGCAGACATCAAGCCGGACCTGAGATTTTAGAATTTCTTTTTCTTTTTTAGTACCTTCCACTAAATTACAATATATATATATATATATATATCTTAGGATGAAAGGCAAAAAAATATGTATATCTTAGGACAAAAGGCAAAAAAATAAAGAAGGCAGGGGGCAGACCCCAGTTTCATCAGCACAGCTTAATGGCATTATTTAAATATGTACACCAACTAACAAATAAACCATGCAAAGAATGGCAAGAATGCATCAGAGTTTAACTGCATATTTTTTTTATCAGTGCAAGCACTGCTGTATAGTGAGTTGAACTGCTGAAAGGTATACCCATACAATTAATACGCAGTCTGAAATCATTGATCATACGCACCCCCGATCCATACATGGATGTTAATAACTGACTCGTGAAAATCCATACACATTCTTTTTATTTACATCTTTTTGTCATTATCTTGAACATGCAGAAAAGTATGCATGTGTATGTGAAATAGGACTCTTTCAGATCATGTTTTGTATTGAAGTTCGTTGTTGAATATTTTCATTTGTATAGAGCTGGCTTTATTATCCCCCCCCCCCATGGCAAATTGCATAAGAGAGTTCACGAGATGCTGGTCATAACAGAGCTTGGCTTAGACTTTCCCAGCTCCCTTCTTACTCTGCCGAAGAAGATTAGACAGCCTGCGTTTTCCATGGGCTCCTAGCTTCTCGCAGGGATCTATCATAAGGAAGCGTAGCAAAAAAAGAATGTTTCAGCTGGCAGTTAATAAAAAGTACAATGGTCGTGACAGCCAAGAGCAGGAAGAAGAACAGGACAACATATGTCACCAAGTCCGGCTTATTAATTTCACCTTCTTTTAACACTCTGGCTGTGGACATATAAAAACCCGAAGAGCTGATAGGTCTGTGGGTGCTCCCTGGATAGGGAGTGTTGGTCTGAACGATCAGGTGAGGATCAGTTGCAGTAGTTGAATTGAGAAGTTCTCCATACATTTTCCTCCTCAAATATTTTCCTTGTGGCTTATCCAGGAACAGGGCTTGGGGTTTGTGCGTGCATGCATGCATGCATGTATGTCTGCATACGGCAAAGAAAAAGGTTCTTCTACGCAGGCGAGAGTTGCATTCAGAATTAAAAAGAAGGCTGGGCCCTTAAAAAGTGTTATTCAGAAATGGCATCAGCCCTCTAGGGATGTTTTGCAGCCCAGAAGAACTAAGGAGTTTCTGTCCTGGCCCTTTGTTTTTGCTTCGGTTCTCCGGCGGCAGACCGGTTGCACGGAGAAGCAGAGGAGTCCTAAAAAGTTGGGAACTTTGGCCGAGCAGTTCGGTTTGCTCTGGAAAACGGACCCCGGAACCCCTTCCTTCAGGATAAGATCCCCACAAAAAAAAGGCAAAGAAAGCAAAGAGGGAAAGAGGCTGGCAGGCGGCCACTCACTTGCTTTGAAGGGAAGCCCCTGGCTCCAAGGCTGGGGAAATTCACGTCCACCAAAAGGCACCCCGTCTTCCTTGGCGTTTGCCCGAGTCTCCCGAGGCGAGCCCCGGTTTTCTTCTGGAATGACCGCCCCTGCGTCGCATTAGTACACTCCCGCTTTCTGGTGCCTCTGCTCGAAGGAAGACCCGCGTTCAAGAGCTGCTTCTTTCACCTCCGGTGGCTGGACAAGCCAGAGGGGGTCGAGAGAAGGTGGAGGGGGGGGGGAAAGGCGGTTTCTTCCCTCGGAAGGAGGGAATCGGTCTCCCCAAGATCCCAGTGTGACACCCCCTTTTTCTCTCTCTCCCCCCCCCCCCCAAGTCCTCAGCAGAAGCCGAAGCTGCAGCAGCGAGACTTCACCCTCTTGCGTTGCTCGGCAGAGAAGAAGGGTTGCAGGCGGCAGCGTCGCCTCTTTCTGTCGCTTGTGACATCTTGCAGGACGCGGCGGCGGCGGCGAGAGGCAGCGGCGGGCGAGATAAATCCCCGAGGGCTGGGGCTTCCAAAGTGGAGCGGGAAGAAGAAGAAGAAAAAAAGCAGTCAGCCCCTGCGCCCCAGACCCGGGTAAACTGCGGCGGAGACTTCGCCTCTCCTCTTTAGACTTGGCTTATGTATGGGCGCGGGACCCCTGAGGGCGACGCCAATCCCTCTTCCTTCCTTCCTTCCTTCCTTCCTTTCTTTCTTTCTTTCTTTCTCACGGATCTCAGCGCCCTTTGCAGCCTGACCGTGAAGGAGCTAAATTTCTCTTATCAATTTGCCTTCCTCTCTCTCCCTCTCCCTCCCTCCCTCCCTCCCTCTCTCTCTCTCTCCCCCTCCCTCCCTCCCTCCCATTCGCCCCCTCTCAGTGTCATTAGGTTGTGTTAAACACTGCAGCGAAAGTCCGGACAAATGAAAGCAGTCGATTGGAGGAAGACAGAATCCCGGGAGAAGATCCCTTTTCTTGGTGGGGCTGCGGAGGGGGCCCTTCACCACCCTCTTCTCGTGATGGTAGCCTTCCCCAACAGTGTTCCTCGGGGTGTGTGTGTGTGCTGAAACGGGGGGGGAAACAGATCAAGGAAGTTTTACACTACGGAACTGAGCTTCAGTGCTGGGGAGCTGGCTCCACAATTAAGTGGTGGACAGTGGACGAAAAGAGGGAAGTAGCTCCTTCTTAGATCGCACGAGGCCACACAAGACTCGGTATTGCATCAGATGTGTGTGCTTGGGAAGAGTTTCAAGATTTCAAAGGCAAGAAGTGAATCTGCAAATGGGAGAGGGTGTCTTTGGCTCCCTAAAAGTCAGCAGCTCTTGACAAATGTACATAAAAGCTCTCCCCTCCCCCCCCAATTCTTCTCCCTGCTTCCTCTGAAAGAAGCTGCTTATTTTATATCCCTGGGCCAAATAATTTATCTCTTAGAAGAAAAGGGTAGTCAAAGAAGGGGAAGAAAGGAAAAAAGGAAGGAAGGAAGGAAGGAAGGAAGGAAGGAAGGAAGGACTTCTACTCTGACTCTGACTGACGGCCTGCTAAATCTCAAATCATAACTGATACTACCAAACATCTTGTGCTTCTTTGCCCACATTAACCCAGTGATCTTAATGAGAACCCTCCAAGGCAGGACAACATGACTGGCCCACGTGAAAGAGTGCCTTTTCTAAGGCTCTGGAAGGAGTGCAGAGCAGAGCTGAGATTTCAGTCATGGTTCCTTGGCTCATATTAGAAGAAATGAGAATTAAATAAGGTGGAGAGAAGAAAGGATAGATTAATGGAAAGCTGGGATAGCACAGAGAGTTTAGATCACTGAATGCAGAAATTCTTGATTTGAATCCTGACTGACTGCTGACCAATCAGTGGTAGATGGGACAGAGGAATTAATTTGCTTTCTTATGCCCTTAGATATAATAGATGATGTGGTCATTGACATCACATTACAGACCACATTGTTTTTTTCCTTCTACTCCTTTCCCCTCTTGCTTCCTTGGCGCTCTCCCCGCAGAAGTGATGAAGCATAGTTGTGTCTTTGCCAAAATCTCTCTACGTAGTATCTTTAGCCCCATTACAGTCCGAGCTTCAACTCCACGTCATATGATTCAACCCCAGAACATTACTGTTACTATCAAGAATCTAACATACAAGAGACATACAGTGCTTTGAATATTTCCAAGGCTTTCTTCGTTTGAATAACGCTGGTCTTTATTTATTTCAACTTAATGTATTCTGTCTCCAGCACAAGCAGTTCACGAAGCACAATTTATAAATGAAGAGGCCCTGTTGTCAGGCTTCCAAATTAAAAGACTCAGTACCAAAGGCATCAACGGTGAACAGAAGGAAGAAACAAGCAAATTTAGAGCCTTGGGAAGGGGGAAGCAGGTCAATTTACAGCATATAACTAGAGGTCAACACAGCTGCCTAACGTGTAAGCAGCCCAGGTTCAAATCTCAGAAGGGTATGATGAGAGCTAATCAGCTCAAAATAGCTATCCCAGTCCCCCTTAATTCTTTGTTAGCAATCCAAAAATTTAGGAAACACACAGACACACATATACATACAAATTATTATTAAAAATTAAAATATTAACAATTAAAATATACAAACCACAAGGTACATGGAGAAAGTGAATATACCAGCTATAATAGTACAATTAACTTATATAATACATTTAAGAATGTCTCTGGTTCCCTGTGACTCCAGATACCAGGCTTCAAAAATCAAGAAAGACACTCTGAGATACTTCAGAACAGTTTCCTTTACTGTTCCTCGCTGATAGATAGAAATCTTGCCGAACTAAAGCACACCACTCACACCATTAAACATATATTCTGAGAACTTCTGGGCAAGAGGCATCTTAACCCTTTTCCTCCAAATCAAATTAAACTTCACAGTTTCTTGCTTCTCTGCAATACAGCCCTTCCCTTCTAGGAATCCTAACTACATTCCACCACTCCATAGCTGAAGCCATAGCCAGATCTTGAGGGACTTCCAGAACATTAACAGGGATGGAATTAATCTCACTTGTGGGGGGAGGGGGAATGTTCCATAAGACCAGGGTTTTTTTTCCTCATAGAACGCCCAGAACGGAGTTCCGGCACCTTTTTTGTATGGAGCCTTGTAGCGTAGGCAAGGCGGGTTGCATGACATGTGTGAGTTCCAGCACCTTTATTTTTACAAAAAAAGCACTGCATAAGACAGTATCATGGCAGAGAAGGCTCATCTCCTGTGAGTTCCCTCACAGACAGGACCCACAGCATGCCTTCCCTGCCTCATCTGAAGGGGTGGACCGATGTAACCAGGGAATCCCTCAGATAATCCAGTCCCATGCCATGAAAGTCTTTAAAGCTTTAAAAACAGCACCTTGAATTGGACCTGGAGGCAAACTGGCAGCCAATGCAGCTCGCAGAGCAGAGGTATGACATTTGCTATTCTAGAGGCATGTATGACTGCCTTCGCCACTGCATTGTGCTGAAGCATCCTCAAGGGCAGCCCCCTGTTCAGCACATTGTGGTGGTCCAAGCTAGAGGTGACTAGGGCAAGAGTGACTGTGAACCCTCCTGATCCAGGAATGGGTGCCGTTGTGCCACACAATGATCCAAGTTACTTAATCTGTTCTCAGTGGGGCAGGTTTAGTTGATGCAGGAACATGGGAAGGTACAAAAGAATAAGAAATTGCATTGCTACGTGTGTTCTGCATGCATACAATACCTTGGTCATGGACAGACCTACTGTACATAGCTTTAAAATTCAATATATTCGAGCCTCGTTGCCACGAGGAGTGGCTTTTTATTATTATTATTTTGCTACTACTGTGCTGACATTGTCTTCTTAAATGATCTCATAGTACACAGTCTCTTGTCCCTTGTTGGGATACTGTGACCATTTATTTATTATTTTTTCTTTATTGTTAAATTTGTATCCTACTTTTTGTAGAGGAGCTCATGGTGACGTATATGGTGCTCCCTCCTTCTCCTTTCCCATGCCTCCATGACCCTGCTGGGTAGCTTGGTCTGAAAGAGGGGGATGTCCCAAAGTCATCCAGGGAACTTCTGTGGGTGAGACCGGACTAGAACCTGGAGCTCCTAGTTGACCACAGAACTACTACATCACACTGCCTCCCAGTTTACTGATCATTACCTGGGCGATGGGGAGGAGCAATTAATATAACCTGCATTTCTTTAATGTCTGTGGGGGAGATTTTACAATTAAGGATTTTATTCTCAGGGTATGAAAAGCAGCCTACAGCAATTCACTCTTAGTTTCTAGGAAGCAGCTGCAGAGAAGTTATTCTGATAAAGATAGATAGATAGATAGATAGATAGATAGATAGATAGATAGATAGATAAATATAGATAGATGAACAGATAAATAAAAGGATAAATGAATAAATAAATAAGGAAAGAAAGAAAAAAAGAAAGAAAGAAAGAAAGAAATTTTGAATTTTTGAACACCCTCCCCTCCCCTCCCCCCCAAGATTGGCAGATCTGTCTGACTGAATTAGTACAGGAATGATTGTATCAGAATCTCCAGTCAGTCGCGCTTTGAATGAGAATATCAGGGTTTCAATAGGTGATAAGGTTTTCACCTCCCAACCAGCAAAAACTGGACACAGAAGAGGACACAGGACACTATTCAAAATGATTTAATTATTTGTAAGTATTTTATATATCTATATTTATATTTAGATCTAGATACAGATGATCTCTCTTTCTGTCTGTCTCTGTCTGTCTGTCTGTCTGTCTCTCTCTGTATGGATAACTACTATAGATATAAACTTAAAGCAGCAGTCACAGACAATCATGGGGGGAATGAGGAGGGCAGGTGTCAAAAAAGTCAAGACAGCAGATGTGACTATGCAATTAAAGCCTATGTGTGTTGCATATTACAAA